TCGGGGTTGGGTTTGGGATCGGTTTCGGGGTCTATGTCGGGATGTGCTGCTGGGTCAGGAGCATTCTGCCCAGCGCCTTCTATTGGTAGTGGGACCCCATCGTCCCTTGCCTCAATGTCTATGTGTATCGGAACTGGGGGAGCACGTGCATCGTGACGGACGGTGTCTCCGGTTGCTTCACTCAATAATTCTTCCGCCCGTTTTCTGGATTTCTTCCCTAGCTCTTTAAGTAGGGAAGTTTGGTGATTCAACCACCTCCCGTGGTGAACCATCCTTTCGATGGTATTCTCTTTCTAGCCTCGTGCAGGTGTTATCGGCTCTCTCTATCTTCGGATATATCTTCGGAACGAATGTAATGAGCGACAATGGTCGGTGCAGATATCGCAAGCATATGCGTTTAAACCAAGTACAGAAGATCAATCCGTATTTCCAGCAGGAGAGGCGTAGCCACCCCGGGCGCTATGTATAAAAAGGAGTCCGATAAACGCAGGCAAAGAAAGTCGGTCGTAGTTCAGGTGGTGTTGTTCCGGGAGGAATTCGGGCAAGTCTACCTGGACTGCAGAAAAATCGAAGGTAAAACCAGATAAAGGAGAGACTTTTTGTCGAGATTCCGGTGTCGAAGGAAAGGAGCGGTTTGAAACGAAGGGATATCTCAGGAAAAATGATAGGAGGGTCGCAGACGTGTAATCGCTTTTGAATTCTTCTCCCAAAAAAAAGAGGAAGATATAGTCCAGAACGGGTCAAGGAATGGGGACGTCTAGCGCAAGATTGCAGGCGAGAATGGAAAGATAGTAATAGGTAATGAATGTGGAAAGTGGTCGCGAATAATCGTTTTTCTGAATCGCGTTGCCGTTCGGATTGAATGAATGGACGTTGGTCGTCGGACTCAACGAATGGAACCTGTATAGCGTAAGGACGAAGCCCTTCAGTCCATGTCTCTTCGGATCGCAAAGTTCTCTCTCTCTCTCTCTCTTCGTCGCAGATCAATCTCGCATACCTGAAAAAGCCGAGAAACGATTTATATCATCGCGCATACGAGGATCAAACACGGCGATTGAAATCGGAACGAAAGGCGGATATATGGATTGGGTATCTCGGAAGCGAAAGGGATCAAACGATCGAAAGAGTGAATGGCAAGCGAACAGAGAATCTTGTCTCGTCGTCGTGGTGATTCTTCAGCGCAGGGAGCGTACGGTCGTCGAACTTCGGCGTCGTCCGTCGGTCGCTAATTGACGATTCTTCTTTTTCGCAATTCTCTTAATTCTTCATCTCAATCAAACCTCCACAGCCTCACCGTCGAAGGAACCAGAGCGACATACGGCTCCGAAACCAGAGATGTGGTGACCAGGTGAGAGAGAAGGGGGGGAGAGAGAACGAGGAAGAGAAAGGAAAAGAGAGGAAGAATTAGACGCTCTCGAAGGAGAAAGGAAGGGGGAGGCAGCGAAAAGGTGAGACAAGAAGGGGAGGGGGCCCCGGGTAGTGGTGGTCGGCCGACTGGGACTCTCCAGGAAACGAAACAACGGGCGAAAAAAAGAAGAAAAGAACGACTGGAACGAAGGAAGAATGCCAGGGACCACGCAGGGAGATTCAGAAACAACGACACCCTTGACAGGAGGAAGGGGGTTTGAGGTCAACCACAGGGATGATCCAACGAAAACCCAGTCGTTCCTGGGGTGTTGTTTTCTTCAGAGAGTTCTCCTTTCACTGGTCAAACAGTGCATCTCATGTCAAGATCCATCTCACTGCTCAGCATCTCATCGGTTCACAGCGTTCTTCTCCAACTGTCGCTCTCTCTCTCTTCGTCCTTCAACTGGTACACCCCGAAATTGCACACACTGTTGGATCCAGCCCATTTCACCATCACCATCAACCACTGACTGTTTAGCGCCAGTCAGGTCTTTCCCCTTTACGTCTTTATGTCAGCCCGGGACCAGCGCCTTCATCCCTGTGTAGCCAATCATCAGGTCGGGAAGTGGAAACTGCAATATCAAAAGGAAATTGCGTTCGGGGCGGAAAAATGTGGCAGCTTCGATGTGGCCCTTGTCTTCTGCTTTGCTTTGCTTTCAGTCTCGTGCATGTGCATGGCCATGTCTCTTGGATCTCATCTCATCGCTCTCTCCAGATAAACCATCTCATCTCATCTCACCCGTGAAGATGAAGAATCCTCATCTCCATCTCCCATCCTCATCGTCTCCGTCATAATAAACAACCCATGTGCAATGTTACATTATGTAACCAACAACACGTTTCTCCACTTTTTATCTTTCGGGAGGGTTGAAACCCTAAAAGTGACCCAAAAAAAGTAAAAAAAGAAACTTTCCCGTTCCTGAATCTGAATGACTAACCAATATCTCTTGGCATCCGTGCCAACGCTTTCCCTATCAAGCAACCTTTGCTTCTTTCTCCGACATGGTTCTTCTCAAACGCCGTTGTCAATCTTCATTTTCGCTTCTTCCTTTGCGTTGTTGCAAGCGAAAAGATCAAACAAAACAAAGCAACGCTCATCACGTCATTCTTCCTTCGTCTCTCTCTTCATCTTCCGTCGAGATCTCACCTCATCTCATACAGCTGCTCCCCTGGCATTCCGAATCATCACACAGCAGATGGAAGCAGTGAAGCACCCTTATCCCAGTACATAACACAGCTTCTCAGCTCAATCCCACTCGATTCAGGGCAACAAAATATCTCTAAAACCCAACCTATTATTCCCCCCGGAGTCACCGTCCCGAACAAATTCCTCATCCCCAGCCAGGTAACATAAATATCAAGACAAAATTTATCTCACACCAAAAGCGGCGCCTCCTCCGTCAAACATCAAACAAGACATGATATAAGACGAGATCACCCCCCAAGCGTAGCAAAAATAAAATGAAAGCCGTTTCACAACCCTCCGCTTGTTATACGGCAACTCCCGGCCCAATATGTAGATCTTACGGACTTCTCTCGGTCTCGTCGAGATACAACAATACAGAGAAACGCGACACGTTAGAGGTAAGATTGCGGCGTGAGGAACGACGCTCTCGCTATCTCCTATCTGTAAGGAGATAAAAAGGGGAGATGGCAAATAGAGTAATTGAAAGTCAAGCTTTCCGGGGAAGAATAGCTTCAAGATCTAGCCGAGAGCGTGTTTTCGCTGTTTGCCAATCCGTTATTTTTCCAAAAGTGAAGACAAAACGGACCCCAAATATCCAACGTATCAGATAAATAAATCATTGAACAAGAAAAGTTTGATATTTGCCGGATTATGTTTGTGTGGAGGAAGACTCTACTTTCCAGTGAGGGTTGGTATTATGCATAATAACAAGACAGCAAAAAAGAAAAAAAGTTAACATAGGGGGGGAGGGGGCGGAAGAACATGACAAAGGTCCAAGTTTTTTGTTTGCTGACGAGTTAAGCTGCTTAAAACGTCTCCAATTCCTCAGCTCCTTCTGTCTCGGGTGGGATTTCGAAACCGTCCTGTTCATAGCAGAGTCAGATATTGTTGTCTTCCTCCAAAAGACAAGGTCATGGGGCACGGGATCATACCTCAGTCGAATAAAGGATTGCCTGGATATGCTTGATCAAAGAATCCTCTTCCTTCTCCAATTCCGGATCCGCCTCTACGGCCTGCTGCAACAACAACTCGATATCCCTCAGCTTAGCAAAGTAGAAATCCCTCTCCTTCTCCAACCCCGTAATCGCTTCCTTCTGCGTCTCAATCTCCCGAGTCAAGGCGAGGGTATTCGCACCACCACCACCGCCTCCTCCAACGCGAGCCTTGGGTCCGGTGGTTGGGGTTGTACCCCGTCGAGCGGCGTTGGCGGACGTGGCGCCTGCACGGGAGTTGGTTGAAGGGGCTCCAGATGCCTTCCGGCGAGCTGGTGCGTCATAGTCGCCGCCTGGGTAGTACTGGTCCCAGTATCTCTTGGTCCACTGGAGGAATTCGAGGTTATCCTGCATACGGCATTTCACGAGCTGTTCGACGTGGACGGGGCGGTCTATCTGGTGCTTGGTAAAGGAGTCTGATAGGTCGTCGTTAGAGGAAAGGAGCCGACGGTGGGATAAATAGGATTATCTGGTCTGGGGAGTGGGGGTATTCGACATACTCTGCAAGACCTTGAAATTTTGGAGGTAGGCGTATTCAGTGTTGACGTTGAACTTGACTCTCGACATGGGAACATCCACTAAGCCATCATTGGTGAGTAACTACCGGATTCGGAGGTGAATGTAGGATGACGGGACTCATTCCCGTCATATCATAAACCCGCCCACTCACTGTATATGGAATCGAAGACTTGACATAGTGCAGCCCTACACCCATCCCACATCACCCATGTCAGCGAATACCCCGCAAATATGTACTTCTATCATCCGAGCCATATCCCAAAACACCCATCCTCGGGATATTCCCATCGAATCGGAGCACAAGTGGGACAACCGGCCTGGGAACGGGAACGGGAGGGGAGAAACCGGGGGCGGGAGGGGCTGGTGATGCATACCCGGTACCACATTGTTCGACCTTGGTGATGTTCAGTTGGAGCAGGTTGTTCAACCAAGCTAAAAGCTCTTGCCTATTTATATCCCAAGAGTCTCTGTCAGCGGGAGGTTTGTGCACTCGGAGATCCGCCGGAAGTGGGGTGGGGGAGGGATGAGAGAAGACCATACCTGGATTCGCCCATGGCGGCGGAGATCGCTGATGAGAGTTAAGTAATGTTGAGGGTGGTTGTCCAGAGAAAGGGGATGGCCTTTAGAAAGGGGGTAAAGAGGATGTTTAGAAGGTTAAGTTGTTTATACACAAGTTGTTTCCAGGGGAAAGAAACAGACGATGATGACGCAGGGTTGAAATTGCCGGTTGGTTCTTGTTTCGTGAAGTTTATGTTTATTTTCTTTCTCACACAATTTGGGGGATCCTTGGGTGAGATAACGCGTTTAGGTTTAGCGTCATCGTCGATAGCAGCGACGTGGGAGGGGAGTCTAGGTTAGGCTCAGCATGCATTTTCCGTAAAAAAATATCAGACACAGCGCCAGTAGTGTAGCGGTTATCATTGTTGCCTTCCACGATCATTTAGCCAATAGAAATTGGTTATTTGCTTACGTAATCAGCATCAGACCTGGGTTCGACTCCCGGCTGGCGCATGAATCTTTTTTTTTTTTTCTCTTCTTTTTTTTTACTTAGTTCTCATTCTCTCTCTCGCGCCTTTCTTGGGTTTTTTCATGATCTTAGAGCCTGAAAAAAGGTGACGCGACGACGATGATGGCGAGGTTGAAGATGGAAGACTGTGAGATGGAAGTTGAGGATAGAAACGAGCTTAAATTAGACGTTGGTTCATTCTGCGGAGGAACTGGGTTCGACTCCCGGCTGGCGCATTCTATTCTTTTTCTTTACCTTTTTTTTTGACTCGCAATTGGGACCGGATAGGATGGGACGAGTGTCTAATTCGACTCCTGACTGACGCGAAGCCTATAAATATGTATGTTCTTTTTTTTGACCTACTTGCAAGGAGACTCGCGTGAATTGAGTATATGAAGGAAACATATAGGAAGAGGCCCCTGGAGATAACCCCTTAAGATACGAGTCCTTTGTGCCACTCCAACACCTGCTTGTTGAACCATCTTGCCCCTACGATTGCGAGCCGAATTGGATACATGTGGGAGAGAACCAAATCCACGTTGGTGACACACCGGGAACTATGGCCCCTATGCAATTATGGGATGGACTACGCATTCCTCTTGGGCGGCCTGGGAGTCCGCTCCTTTTAGGGGGGTTGCCAACTGGGAGAAAATACAATAATATATCGGCAGGGACATGTTTACGATTCTTTGAGTCTCAAATATAATTCATAAACTATAGATACGTCTTCTTTTATATACACAGAGAGAGAATTCCACACGCCCAATCCCTTCCGCATGGATCACTAGGATTCAGGAACACAGTTGAAGGAAGAACATTATGCTTGCTCTTTGGGCCCTTTCTCTGCTTTCTTCTCAGATGGGAAGATCACAGTTATCTTTCATTCTTTCCCAGTGGTTTTAAAAGAGCTACTCGCGAAGAGGTGCTGAGAAACGATTAAAACTCGCCTTGTAACGGCGCGTAGCCTATCGGACTGTTCGATTTTCGACAGTAAATGTGTTTTCGAGAACGACTCTTCGTTCTTTTCTAAAATCGCCATGGGCGTAAACTGAGTACTTCTTTATCAGAGCTCGAGGGGTTTCACATGTGAACCAGAGCTGACGAAAAGAAGTAACGTCAAGTTCCAGCATAAACAATCCCCAGTTGTGAAAAGATTATATGGGCGGAATATACCGTCCACTTCTTGGTAAAGCATGGCTTCCGCAGCTTCTTGAATGGTTTCTAGGACTCTGAAAAAGAAGTCTGTTTTGCCGATTTCGCCAGCTATTTCTCTAACAAGACGATAAAACGGCGCTTTTGAGATGCAGAGATCGGTTGTCTTTTTATAACGTCTGATTTCTCGTAATGCGACCACTTCAGTACCTCGCCGCAAGGAACGTGGCCAAGATTCACCCTAAGTCTCGGAATATTTTGAGGCCTCGTATGTTGTTCTCCTCAACCTCGTACCGGACCTCGCTACCAAGGAGGGAATCCCTATCCTGCTCATGAAATGCCTCCGTACAAAATTATAGCTGGTCCAACATAGGCTCACCGGGGGCAGCGGGTGGTGCAGAGGGAACACCGAATTGCTCAGGATCAATTATTCATACATTTTCGGGTCAGGAGAAATCGACGGAAAAACCCCCGCCCGTAGGAGCCGTCTGTGATGGATGTCCCGTACTCTATCCACCGCTTCGGGTCAGAAATATCCTCAAAAGGAAGGTCAAGATCAGTTCCCTCCAGAGTGGGAAAACTCGCGAGAGCTTTGGCCGTCAAACGCACCCGACTCCAGTGGTAGAAAACTTCCGTCTCCGATGGAAGGATCGCATAGGTTTTGATAAGCTGGCCCCGTTCGTCGAGTATTCTGATAGTATGTAGTATCGCGAGACGTAATCTTGCCGGCACTCGGCCATTGTCTCGTCGGAAACTCTCCCATTCGTGCTCACCTCCTTAACGAAATTCTTCACCTTCGGCCCATTGAGTCAATCTCTGCGGAATTGCTCCATCTTCCTGAGTTGTGGTGGTGGTGAGCGCGCTCTGGTGTGGTCTGAATATCATTTTGGTTTATTGTGGATCTTGTTGCTTCGGTGGAAGCTACAGAAATGCTTTGGATAAATTCCCATGCTGTCATCATAGCTGTATTGTTCAAGCGTGTCGTTTTGGATGTCCCTCACAGCCCCATAGGATTAGTACGTACCTTGAGCCGCTGACATAGGACCCCTCCCAAAAATACTAATACGCTGAGGACCAATCCAAGGTCCATCGTCTCAGTCCATGCTAATCGCTTTCAAGACAACTACCCTGTCTTTTGGGAATATATATAGCTTTTCCCAGCTGGCCATTTTGTGGCATCGACGACGAAATCGATGTTTAATCCGTACATCGGGCACAACCCACGGTTATCGACGAATCCTGGAGATAATATATATGTGAAACGGCTTCAGATTTACCGCACGTCTCCTGGCTCCAGTCACTTTGCATCTCCATTCTCTCCTTCTGCCACCTATTGCGCCCCTCCCATCTATTTCGCTTGATGAATCCACATGGCCGCAATCGAGGTACCTAGTAGGAGGGGGAGGAGGGCGAGCAGGAGGGTTAGTAGGAGGGGCCTGACACGGGCGAGAGAGAGCGGAGAGGTGGTACCTATTTTCTTCAGTACCACGGCTGAGAGCGGAGAGGAGAAAGTGGTCGGTGCTTATTTTCTTCAGCACCTAGGGGCAGGGGAATGGAGAGAATTGACATATATCGAAAATCTTAAGAGGGGTTAGTGGTGGGGGCGGGGAGCCTTGTCCCCGGTGCAGACGAACTGCTGCCGCGGGTTATATCGCGGAACCAACCCCAAATGCCGAAGCAAATTCTTCCGATTGTGGTGGAGATCCACCATATTCCCATGATAACCCAAAGGATTTGCTCGAGGAACCATATGATGACATCGGCCGCCTTCAAGAGTTGAGGCTGCTGCCGCTAATCTCTGTACGAACCCCTGCACAATCGCCATCCACATGGCCGCAATCGAGGTACCAGTGGTGATAGCCACCGAACAGGACGTGGTATAAATGTTGTAAGCCCTTGGACCGCCAGAGTTGTAGGGGAACGCTAAGGACGACCGTTATCTTTAAGCCTCTTAGGCGGAAAAAGGCTGAAAGATCGGAATAAGCACTTGCATTAGGTGACAAGAGATAAACAGTTTCATAGGTAGGAGGAGCATCGAGCAAACCAGTAGATTCTGGTACTGCTTCCGCGCATCAACCTTGAAGATCAGGAAGTATTTCGTGGTACGACAGAATACCTCACCCGGGCCGATCCTCTTTTATAGCTCCCACCCCAGTCTGACTTCTGACATCCAGACAGAAAACTGCCTTGGTGGCTTCTTTCAAGGCAACCCGAACAGACGCCGCCTTCTTATACCTTCTAAAGAAGGCCACTCCAACGCATATAAATGCGAAGGTAAAGAACACGGCCCCAACCATCCCCAAGACCGACCGCCGAAGATAATGCTCCCATTGCTGTTAAGGTCCAATGAAAGAGGTTCGATATCCTCGCCTGTGTTCAGAAAAGACAGCGGCCTCCCGTTGGGACAAGGTGAGGGTAGGGTATCCCCATCGAAAATAGCAACAGTCTTGCGAGTCATCGGGCTGTTTTTGTCCTTTGTGGACGGAAATTGGAGGTAGTCGGAAGCGAGAAAATCCAACGTCGTTGTACTCGGCGAGGGATTCCGGGTGGTGGCGTCCCGCATTAGGGGGAGAGCTATAGCGCTCCGGGCCTCGATCACCACGGAGACGAGGTAGAACCATTGCTCGTCGAGGGAGCCGGTGAAGGTATTGTTGATAGATAAGTTTTCGTAGTTGTCTGCGGGCTCGCCGGGGAAGATGGGTTTGTGGTAGAGATCGATATGAGAACGAACACATTGGCCACCGATCCAGTACGTGGGTGTGTGAAATATTTGAGTTCTCGGCTACTCGTACCACCCACACCTTATTGCCGGACATATCGCGAAGGATCTGGACACACCATTCTGACGCGAGTGAGGGGTGATAAGATCGGACCAATCTCTCATCGGATTCGTTCCTGATTTCTGTCACTAGAGCTTTCGCAGCTGTCGTTTCATCGGTTTCTAGTACAGGCGTTAATATAATGTGATTGCCAAGTTGGGGGAGGCAGATTTCATAGACTCACTTTCGTGACCGCCAACAACAGTCATTTCGTCAAAGATCCTACACTCGAAATGGAGATATCCGGACTTGAAAATGGCTTGGAAACACCTCATTCATAGTGTCTCCACCGTCATGGAACGCTCCATGCCCTCGCTGGGGGAGCGGTTTCCATCCACCCAATCCGTGGCCTCTCGATCAAGTAGCATATCCAGGATGTTAGCATATTCGGAGGGGTCTTCGGTGCGTAGATGCTTGACTTCGTTGTCCAGGCGAGCAATCCATCGGCGAGCAGAGGTCTTTCCATCGAATCTACCAATGTTGGAAAGCTGAGGGTTTTCTTGGAGGATCCCAAGATCTTGGTCGTATACGGACCGCCGAGACTCCATGGATTCGTTTTCTATGTAGTCGACAAAAGTGGTGATGTAGCTTTGTGCAAAAAACTTGCACATAGCTACTGGCAGACCATCGTCGAAGTATTATATCTATCAGCCATACGTCAAGGATTAGGGTCATGCAAGAGCGCTTTCCGTGCGGATATAATAGTTTGTAACCGCACATCATCTTACAGCCACTGCGGTGACTGGCCCTGGCCAGAAGAACATAGCTTTTCTGGAAAACCCCCGATCTCTGAAGTTTGGAGGGATGGTATATGGATTAGAACCAGAGAATGTGTTCGTGCTAGTATATCCGGACCTGGAGGGCAGGCGTTGAAACGGGCTTCTTCCCCTAGATGTCCTGGGCAAAGGAAAAAAGAAGAAGCCACATTCGAATGTGAAAAAGTATTTTTAAACAACCCCGCTAGGTACAAAACAATAGTAGCTGTCGTCCTTCCTCATAGCTTGTGCGGTCTTGCTCAAGAGAGGTAGGGGAAC